TTACAAAGTCCTCAAGGACGATATTGTAAACTAACCTTAAACACAATGACGACTAAAGCCTGTTTTGCTCTTTTGACACCAGAAGACTTTATTGTTGTGAATGGTAAAAAATACTCCTTTGAAGATACTTACTCAGATATACCACAACAGGTTTTGTTGACTTATTTAATACTTTAAGTACGGGTGTAACATGTGCTGCAACTAGAGCAGGTTTCATTATGTTTGGATGTCCGACTGAGTTTACTATAAACGATATGAGCTATAATACAAAACTTATATCTGGTTTTTACTACCAACAGTTTCCTATAACAGGAAAAGGTGTCATACAAGGAATGTCTATTCCATTGACATTAAGCACACCAATCTTATATATTGTTTCAAACTTAGGTTCAAAGTGTTATTCGAATGTCGACAGAAACTATTATGACCAAAAGATACTTATGCGTATAAACAATACTTTCTCTGCTGGTTTGCCTATTGTTCATTCGAATGCAGAATTTTCAACCTTAGTGAACTCAAACACTTTGGCAAGTATAACGTTGACATTAGTTGACGCAAACTTTGTTCCTGTAAAACTTTTATGTCCTATGTATTTGTCAATGACGGCAGAAAGTTTCGAATTGGAAGATGCAACTGGTGAAAGTATTGTATTACAAGAACAACTTCAACAACAAATAGCTCAAGAACAACAAATGGAACAACAAAGTCAAGAATAAAAAAAAATATTTTTTTTATTTTTATAAAAATGTACAGAATAGATGTTTCAGATTTTTATGACTTCCAAGCATTCAGAAATATGTGTCCATTTAGAGACTATAACATAGCAGTCGAGAATTTGAAACGTTTAGTCATTTATGTTGACTCTGCCCCAGGATGTTATGTCATGAAAGAATGGGATGTTGTCTTTAACAAACCAAGAGCAACAATAGTTTCAGAACAAGAATGTAGACAGAAACTTAAGAAAATAAAAGTCGTACAAGTTGGCATGAAGATGTTAGATGCTTGGGATATCTTATTGTCAAAACTTGAAGATTTTTCAGTTCGTGGTATAAAGTTCTATACACCTTCTCCAAACTTCTATTCTATCTTCACTGGATATAAATACGAACAAGTAGAATGGAAACACAGTATTATAGAAGCTTGGTTAGACCATGTCAAAGAAATTATATGCAATGGAAACGAAAAGGTTTATGAGTATATCTTATGTTGGTTTGCAAACATCTTACAACATCCAAGTGCTAAAAATGAAACTGCTCTCATTATAATTGGAAAACAAGGAACAGGTAAGAATACTTTCTTTACAGATATCTTATGCAAACTGTTAGAAGGTTATTCGAATCCGAATATGACAAACTTAGAAAACATCTGTGGCAAGTTTAACTCCTCAATAGAGAATATGAAACTTATAGTTTGCAATGAACTTCAAAGTATAGATACAACAAAAGTTTTGAACTCAGATGCTTTGAAGAGTCTTATAACAGACAAAGTTGGAGTTGTTGAAAGAAAGTATAAAGACCAAAGAGTTTGTGAAAATGTTGCAAACTTCATTATGGTTTCAAACAATGTTGTTCCGATGAAGTTAGAAAGTTCTGACAGAAGATATGTAGTTGTCAGAACGTCAGATTCTCATATGCAAGATACAGAATATTTTGACGACTTAGCAGAAACTTTGACATCTGACTTTTACAACCACTTGTTCTCATATTTCATGACATTAGATATTTCTAACTTCAATCCAAGACAAATTCCACATACCGAAGAGAGACAAACATTGTTAGAAGCAAACAAGAGTGTATATGAACTGTTCATAGATGAAACTGACTTTGTGTCATTAGATGAAAGGTCTTTATATGATGAATATAAACAATATTGTCAAGAATATGGTTATATGGCAGCTTCTAAACGTACATTCTTGGCAAATGTCAAAAGTCTTTTAGATGTTCAGAATGGTGTATATACAAAGAAAATTTTTTCTGAGTAAATTTTAAAAAAATATTTTTTTATCCGATAGAAAAGATGACGAAACTCATCTCAGTAAATAAGTACATGACAGAAGTCAAAGATAAGTTAGCTCCATTCGCATATTTGAATGTTTACTTCTACAATTTTGAAAAGTCTACATTTGACAAAATTTGGAACATTGCACCAGTTAAGTTTGCTGTTGTTAGAAAAAGTGGTGCAACTTTTGAAGACTTATACATTGACGGTATGTTGACAGTCAAAGAAAATTTTGACAGAAAGTTCTCAAAACTCGAAGAAGGTAAAGCATACAAACTTGTTATACCTTATGAACCAAAGAAGACAGACGACTATGAATATTATGAGTCTAAGATAGTTGAAGTTCAAGGTAAATTGGGTAAAAAGATTTTAGAGTCTAAGCCAGTGTTTACTCCTAAAGAGGAAGAGAACATTGACATTGACCCAGAAATGTTCTAAAAATAAAATTTTATTTTTACATGTCAAATTTCTTTTTCTCTGGAACTGGTTCAGGTTCTTTCTTCTCTTCTTCTACTTTCTTTTCTTTCTTTTCTCTCTTCTTCTTTTCTGGTGGAGTTATGTCAAATTTGGCGCAACTATATTTATGTAAAAGTTCTTTGTCCTTTAATAGCTCATCTATTCTGTTTTCTATTTCATCTTCAAGAACAGCGCATGTGTCTTCTTTGCATTCTAAGAACTTTTGTTGGACTTCATCTTTCCAATCGGCGTCATCTCTGTCAACAAGTCTGTCATTGACAAATTTTAAGACTGCTCTTTGTAATGTTTTATGGTTCTTGTCATATTCCCAGAAACAGAACTTTAGAACAAATTCACCTTTCTTGTTTACACTATGTAAGATTTTATGGTCGACAGATGTTTTGCTGTCAAAAAGCTTGTCTCGAATATAGATAGCGAAATCGCTAGACATTTTCTAAAAGATAAAAATTTTAATTTTTCTAAAAATATGTTAGAAAAAAAGTTTGCTGACATTGACAAGAAATTTGAGAATGTTTTAAACAAGAACAAGGTGAAGTTAGAAAATGCTCAGATAAAGCCTATACATGACAAGTTCTTATTTGCTCAGAATGGTATAACAGGTCTAATTGCACCACCTGGGTCGGGTAAGACTTTCACTTATCTTAAAATGGCTGCACAACAACAAGAACTAGATGAGAAGAACCCATTCTATGAGTTGGTTGTTATTTGTAGTACTTCTGGTCAATTTGACCAAACCGTCAATTCGTTCAAAGATATTATAAAGAAGTCTAAGTTAGTATGTATAAAGGATACTGAGTTGTTAGATTGGATAAAGAAGTACCAAAGAAGGGTTTTGAAGTACAATGCTATAAATGAGTATATAAATTCTAAGTTTAAAGACCCAAATGAGGAAATGCAGAGAATATTAGAGAAGAAACACTTCAGAAACAAACAGAAAGAGATAGAATACATTTCGAAGAAATTGCAATCTTACGATTGGAAGACTTACCCTCATAGATGTCTTCTTATCTTAGATGATTTCGCCTCTCATCCTTTGTTAAAGAACAGAGAACAAGATATGTGTCGAATTCTTAAGAAGCTCAGACACTTTAACATCTCAGTTGTCATTTGTGTACAGACAGCAAAGAGTTTAAGTAAGGATGTTAAAAGAATACTTACTGACATTATACTTTTCCCCGGATTGTCCGAAGACGATTTCATGGAACTTATGAAAGAGTCCATGGCAGGTAAGTTTGACAGACATAAACTATGGGAGAAGTACAAAGTCATACAAGACCCTCATACTTCTTTCAGAATTCATATCTACGCAAACAAAGTTCAAATTGTAAAAAGTCAATAAAAATAAATGGTTCATCTACCCTACTTGTTTGAAGTTGTCAAAATACTCTGTTATTTTTTCTTTCAGTAGCGGTAAGTCTTCTTTGAAGGTAAGTATTGTACAACCTTTCATATCATAGTGTGTTTGAGGTAACGTATCTTGAACTATTTGTTTCACATCTTCATTTGGGGTCATTGAAATCGGTAAGTTTTCGCGATAGAACCAATTTCTGTCAGATTTGTAAATCTTAGCAAGGTCGTAAAAGCTTTTGTTGTTTCTTCTGACTAAATGCAACATAACCATATCTTTATCTTCTTCATTTTCCATCTCTTCAGTATAAATCATATACTTATAGTTCTTTTCCTTTCCTTTTGGTACCGAACGTGGTATTCTTTTCTGTATGCTTTTGTCTTTTGCTTCAATGACTTCATCTTTTGCATGAAGTTTCTTTTCCATCTCTTCACGTTCTGCTTTATATAGTTCATCTAACATCATGAAAATATAACAAGCATAACGAGGTGAAGCCCACATTGCTACAGCATTTACTAAAAGTCTATGAACATAATATCCTTTCAAACCAGGAGCCAAATTCTTGCGATTTTCGTACGGAATCTCTTCTCTCGGTTTTCCGAGGGAAGCAATCATATGAGGAAATTCTTCTAAAATTTCTTTTGTCTGTTGGTTTTCAAACCAATGATATGCTTGCTTTGTAGAACGAAGAGCATTCAAAATACTTTGCATTTGGTACATATCGTCTTTGACTGAACGAATGAGACGGAGTTGTTTGTTAAACTGTATGTACTCGTATTCTTCATTTATAGCTTCATGGACTATAACTGTTGTTGTGTTCTCTGTTGTTGACATATCTGTCTTTACATACAAAATAAAAAAATAAATAAAAATAAAACTAACTTTATTTTTTCTATCTTAAGGAAATTCATGATTTTTGTGCTGAATTCAATAAAAATAATGTTTAGGTGAAGAGGTGAGATTTCACCTCTTTTTTCACCTCTTTTCTACCCCAGTTATTTTATAAACGTTTCACATGGTAAACGTTATTTTTGGAATTTTGTGAAAACTCAACGGTTTGACACATGCCATATGCCATTTTACTCAGAATTTTGTTGCTGAATTCAGCAAAAATATATTTTAGGTGAAGAGGTGAGATTTCACCTCTTTTTTCACCTAATTTTTCACCCCAGTTATTTTATAAGCGTTTCACATGAATTGTACGATGTATATTTGAAATCCTAAACAGTTTTGTAGCTTCTATTTCTTCTTTTAGTACATCGAATGTTTTAACAATGCCGAAAGTTTCTTTATACTTCTTCTTGACGTCAGATAGAAGGAAATCGTCAGCAGTTGGATAGTTTTTGTTCAGAAATTCTAACATGTCCATTTTATTTTCTGCTGGTTTCTCTGCTTCTTTCTTTAAGTCAGCATAGTCGTTTCGCATTCTTTCTATCTCTTTGACTGAGTAGTTATATTTCCTAATTGCTGCTTTACATTTAGAACATTGCGGGTTCATTTTTGCGTTATATTCTGAAACCTTACCTGCTAAAACAACCAAGGCGTCAATGGTTTTCTTTAAATCTGAAGCAGTTGGTTTTATCTGTTCATTCCATACCTTACCTCTTCTATCTTTATCTCTTATCTGCCATACACATTTTGCAGCTAATGAAACAAAGTTGTCGTATGTCTTAAACTCCCCAGATTTATATATGTCAGAGATGTTCTTATATACCATGTCGCAATCTTTGTCCATAACTTTATGGTTGCAATGAAAACCAAGGAATTCATAATTTACCTTTCGTATGAACTTCTTTATTTCTACTGAGTCAGTTGCTTTGACTTCAATTTCGTCGAATTCAGGAATAGTTAGTTTTTGCTGCTGAATTTCAGGTAGTTTAGGCAAATGGTCGATGAGGTCCCCTATTTCTTAAAGATACTGTTCATTTGTTTCATCTTTCGCACTACAGTCTAAATTACTTGTTAAAAGTTCCTGCTTTATTCTTTGTATTTCTGTTTCGAAAGTAAATGAAGAAGGAATGAAGCTTTTCATCTCTACTAACATAGATGTTGGATTCATGACTAACGAGTTTGGTGCTGTTGTTTGAATTGTTGTTGTGCCGATTGTTGACATTTCTGTTCTTTTATACAAAATAAAAAAATAAATAAAAATAAAACTAACTTTATTTTTTCTATCTTAAGGAAATTCATGAAAATTCAAGAGGGTGAAAAAACAGGTGAAAAAAGAGGTAAAAAAAGAGGTGAAATCTCACCTCTTCACCTAAATTATATTTTTGCTGAATTCAGCAACAAAATGAACGAGGTCAGGATGTATGTAAATGCCTTTGAATTCATTCATAACACCCTTTGTAAGCTCATAAAATGCTTGTTTTGAGGTCGAGCCACTTTTGGCTCCACCGTATTCTTTCAACCAAAACTCAAGAATTTCCTGCATGGAATTTTGTATAAAAAGCAACAGTCCGAATTCCGGCGGTTGCTATATTCTTCACAAAATGCCTTATAATACTCTTCCCAGGACTTATTTTCCAACAACTTTCTAAAGTCTTTCCTAAACTGACTGACTGACTGACTGACGGCACAAAGTGGCTTAACGAAAACATTAATATATAAAATTCATGAAAATTCAAGAGGGTGAAAAAACAGGTGAAAAAAGAGGTGAAATCTCACCTCTTCACCTAAATTATATTTTTTGGTCCGGGAACAACTTTCTCTCAATTGGAGCTGTAGCATACTCTTTGCGTAAGCGGTTCAGACCTTCTTTGAAGTCTTGGTCTCTCTTGGACTGAGATTGGAATTGGAATTGCTGGGGTGGAGCTTGCTGGAACAACCAAGGGTTGGGGCAGTAAGGCATAGGCTGAGGAAGGTAGTTCGGGAAGCCTTGTGGTGGGTAGTAACCTTGGGGTGGAAATTGGTAGTAATTCGGAGGTACTTGCTGGAACTGAGGTTGCTGAGGAGACTGTTGTGGTTCTTTAGGTTCCTCTGGTTTGGGAATGGACTCGGTTGGTGGTACGTCGGACATTGTCCCGTTGTTTGCGTATATCCTGAAACGAAATGTGTATGGTTTCCTTCTCCCTGAGTGTCACTCCAGTAACAATTTATAGCAAACTTAACGTCGTCATTAACATCATATCCTTTACCTTTTGTCATTCCTGACCAATCCCAATATCTATGCTTATGCCAACCTGCTTGAGATGTACTTAAATCTATGTAATGACTGTGTGCAGGTAAATTTTCACCTGAAATCGTTTGACTTCCACCTGTTTCCTTTGAAGAGTTTGCACAATACAAAAACCTGTCGACTATTTGTTCCCATGCACCAACACCAAACATTACTTGAGGACCTCTTGCATCCATAGATGTATAAATAGAACCTACTGGGTTCATTAAATCAAACATATGAGATATTATAGGATTGTCTCTTTTGAACTTAAAATATAGTGCAACTATTTCAGGTTTCTTCTGGTTTGTGTCAGAATATTTTTTATAATATAATCTTATGTTTTCAGGGTAGGTAAAAATCTTGACTATAATATTTATTTCTGTCATCTGTATAATAATATACTATTCTCGTTTTTTCTATTGCATTATATCTTTTATATCTATAATAATCTAAATATAATGTTAGCTTTTGTTCATCTACATTGTGGTGTTCTGTCGTCATCTCCATAGTCATAATAATATGGTGCTGGAGCTGGGTCAGCAATGTCATATCTGCCATTTCATAAACTCTTAAATATTTCTTTTGTTCGTCTCCATATAAGTTTAAGTAGCAGTTGTTGTCTAATGGAACTTTAACTTGTGTACCATCATTCTTTTTATAGCTTACATACATTTCATTGTTATTTTTCGGAATGAGTTTATGCCGTGTACCATTTTTTAAGGACTGTACCAACTGCCATCTAAAATATTTATTTCTTCATTGACAGAAAAGTCACCAACAATAGTTTCAATATTTTTTTGTTCCTATCAAACTTTGGTATATTTCATTGACATATGTTTTATCTGCTTTATTTTCAAGGCTAACGTTTAAGTTTGTAATATCAGATATAGAATGTGTATGTCCAACGTCACTTTTCCTGTTTAAGGTTTCTTGTAAGTTTGTAATATTTGCAATGGTATGTGTATGTCCAACGGCACTTTTCCTGTTTAAGGTTTCTTGTAAGTTTGTAATATTTGCAATGGTATGTGTATGAGTCTTATCTGCTTTTGTCTCTAATGTTTCCTTAAGACTTGGTATTTGGTTAATATAATGTATATGAGTCTTTTTAGAATATTCGTTTTCAGCTCTTGTCACTTCACTTGACATTTTATTGTCAACATATGTTTTGTCTGCTAGTTCAGGATGAGTATGTTCTTTTTGTTTGCATAAGCATTGTTAGCTCTTTCTTCTTCTTTTGCTATTGCATCGTCTACATATTCTTTGTCAGCTTTGTTGTCAACATCTGCTTTCAAAAGAAGTTCATTTATAGGTTTTCTCGTTTAAAGTTCCTTTTGTTGGATTTATACAGACAGTATGGTTCTTATTGTCTTGAAACAGAAACTCATCTGTCATTGGGTTTATTGTCAGTTTTAAGTCACCCCCTTTCAATGACTCAGATATCTTAGAATAGTTTGAAAAGTTTGTTGTGTTCTTATTTAGAGCTTGCATAATGAGTTGTCGGTTGTGTTGTATTTCTCTCATAGACGCTGTTTCATTTGACATTTTTATTATAGATAAAATATGCTTCCAATAGAAAAAGAAAATTCTAGAGTTGCTACAACTAAACCATTAGATGAACTTTTTACTAATGTCGTCAAAAGTTTGAGACAGATACCGTAAAGCATGAAGGCTATCGTTTTGACTACCCATTAAGATGGTTAAGAGACCCATCCGTCACAAAAGCTATTGGCTTTCGTAGAATGAAGTTCATTTCAGAAGCCATACATGGTTTCCCATTTACGGTCGGTTTTGAAGTTCGATACTATAACAAAGAAAAACGTATGTATGAGAAATTTGAACAGGGAAAACTTTTACAAGTTAGTTTGCTTATAAACTTAGAAATTACTCTTCAAGCTTTTCAAGAAAAAATAAACGATATCTATATCGAATATGCAAACCAGTATAACATTGACGAAGGAGAATACCATCTCGATATTATTTATGACAGGAAAAATGCAACTGTTAAAATCAATAAAATAGAAGACCTTGGAGAAAACGTTTATATTTCTACAAAATATAACAACTTGGCATGGTATAGATTTATGAGGATGTTAAATCAGCCTGCAGCATATCCAGTACACCCGGACTATTATGAAGTCGAAAACCCTAATGGAACATATGAAAATATTTTCGACCAAGATGCTATTATTGTTCATGCTTCATTTTCTGGCGCCCAAAACTCTTTCTTATGCTTGGCAAATGACTTTTACGAAAAACCTACAAAGTTATACGAACCACCAAGTGGAAGTATTTCAGACTTTCAAGTATGGTTTACTACAGATGGAAGAAAAAGAATAATTCCATTATACCATGCGTTTTACTTAGAACTTAGTTTCATATACAACTACTATCGAACGGTAAAAATATAATTTTTTAATACGGTTGAGGTGTTGGGATTTGGTTGCCAACTAGACTGTGGTGCAGGTTCAGGCTGTTGTATAACAGGAGCTTGTTCTTCTGGTTCAGGGTCTTTAGGTATAATACCAACAAACTGACCTACTCTTTTACCAATATTTTTGACTCCGTTCCAAATTCCTCTTCCGACAGATTTTATTCCATTCCATATACCTCTTCCAACTCTTCTGAAGAAGTTTCCAATACTACTGAAGAAACCCATTTTACTATATGTAAAAATCTAATGTCCGCCTAGTCTCTTACGTTTCCTGTTGAGTTCCATAGCATTCTTTAACTGGAGCTCATACATTCTGTTTCTCCTCTGGTAAAAAACATATTCTGGGTCAACTCCTGTGTTCGCGTCATCTGCATAAAGTTGTTTATATCCCACTTCAGGGTTTGTATAAAACTCTTTCCATCTCATATTTGCATACCATGGTGGCAAACCTAACGCAGCGTCATTTGACATGGCAGTTTGCATTTGTACATCTGTTGGCACTTGACCATAGTTTGCCATTGCAGTTTGTATTCTAACTTCATTTGGAATATTCTCTGGGTTTGGTTGTCCAGGTTGCTGTGCATTCGCTAAGTTCTGTGCGTCCATTTAATATTAGATAAAAATATCTCTTACGAGTACATATGCTGAACATTTGCAGGCATTGGTTCATCTTCATATTCTCTGTACTTTTCTGCCACGTCAAATAAATAAATGACACAATGGAAAAAACCTAAAACAAGTAGTCCTATTTCAAACCACATTTACTTACTAATAAAATTTCTTTATTGTGACACTTTCTCCAGTTTATAGGACCTCTCTCATATTCTATCTTGTCATATATAAACTCATAGTCGTTTATATCTTCTAACCATCTCATAACGGTTTCCAAACCACTTTTATCGGATGTAAAGTAAAAGCATGGATGGTTATGTATAACGTCTAAAGTTTCTAAAGAGTCTCTCAAAGTCCAGTCTACTTGGTATTGAAAATCCCATGTGTTATAGAACGGCGGGTCCACTATAAAGAAAACATTTTCCTTGTCTTTAAATTTTTCATACAACTCTGTCCAATGACATCTCACAAACTCTATACCCTCAATATATTTTTCTATGTCCTCTTTGAAAACATTTGTATAGTTAAGATATAAAACTTTTGACATAAGTGTTTCAATGTCATGAACTCTTATAGCACCACTATATAATAGTCTAGCAGATATACTATCCCAGTCTATATATTCTGCTTTTTTCAAAACCTCTCTCACAATATTTTTCTTATCTAATGGTATACGTTCCATCTTACCTATAGGTATCTTTTCTTTTAACTCTTTCAATATATTGTTTGTGTCTGGAATATGTTTGAGACGGTTCATATAGTTGTCGAAGTCATTGCATATAATCTTTGAGTCTGGGAATATTGTATGACATAAATGGGATATATAGAAACTTCCACCGAACAAATCTACAAATGTTAGACCATTCGGTAGTTTCTTAAGTTCTCTCAATATAATATCTTTACATCTACTCTTATTTCCAAAGAACGGTAACGGCGGTTTTGTAAAATTCATTTATATATAATAATAAAAATGTTTTTACCCGAAAAGTGACACAAAAAGTGACACTATTAATATGATGTAAATAACAACGGTTTTGGTTTTGTCACCGGCTGGTCGGCTGGGGTTTGGTCCTCCTCTTGGGTCTTGGGCAAAATTTCTTATGGGCTAGAGGGCGCAACGCGCCTGGAAGCCCTCCGAATAAAAACTTCATTTATACTAAACATCTTCGGGGTTAGAGGGCGCAACGCGCCTGGAAGCCCCACTACCTTTTTTTATTTTATTTGAAATTTCATAAATTTTATTTGAAATTTCATAAATTATAATAAATTTGATATTCAGAGACGGCGCTACGCGCCTTTTAGCATTCTGGGCACTTACGTGCTCAGAATGCAAGATTGAGAAATTTGAAACTTCGTTTCAAATTTCTGCCATGCTGTTATGGAAAAAGAAAGTCAGTACAAAAAAAATTTTTGAAATTGAGAATAAAAATAATATCGTGATTTTTTGTGATATTTGGATTTTGTAGATGATTTTAGAGATGTCAGTCTCAATTTAAAAAAATTTACAAAAAATGATCGTAAAATAATCGTTTTTGTTCAAATCCTTTTCATTTCGGGAAATTGAAGTTAAATATCAAAGAGATGGTCTATGCATATGTTAAATCAAATCATTAAAAAGTGTTTTGATGACTTTTTCTAACCGCAAATTGTCACTTTTTGATGTTTTAAAAATTATTATATATCCTATATGCATATAAGATACAAATTAATATTAAAACTCCAAAATCGATTTTTGAGAGAATCAAATTTATCACATCTCATCGTTGTTCCGATATTATATTTTATTTGTATTGTACATATTATCCCAATTACATTCATCATATTAAAATTCAAAAATAAATTTTTGAGTTTCAGACTCCCTAATTTCCCATATAAATATATGTTTATTTTATTCAAAATAGAATGTCCAATTATTGATAAAAATCGATCCGCTATTTTTCTACGGTCAAGCTGCTGTATATATATAGAACCCATCCATGTAAACCTCGATGTCACTTTTGCGGCCGAGCGGAGCGAGGCCGCAAAAGTGACATCGAGGTTTACATGATGGAAAAATTGCTCATAGAATAAGGAATTATACCAGATTTTGATTCAATAACATGCTATATTATAAGCAAAAAATGTATTCTAAGTTTTGTTTAACGCACTTACAAACATAAATTTTTAATTTTATCAAATAACATACGATTTCTATTGATTTGATGCAATACTGCTGGCGTGAAAGTTTCTTTATGATATCTTATTTTACCATATTCACCATTATAAAGAAGTAAAGTCCAACACAAAGATGCAAATTCATAATGAGGGATTGTTTTCACACCAACTTCGTTTAAAACATTATCATATATCATCCAATTGAGAATTGCTTGATCTGCAGCAATGTGTTTCCATTGCCTTCCTATTATAGCAGCATTCATATCAACAACCTTTTTCATCGCTTTCATTTTTCCAGCGAAAACTCCAGAGCAGTAAATTTCATTGTTCCCAGGATATAATCGATGGAAATTTAGACCTTCTAGCGAATATGTCCATACTTCACTGATTTTTGAGTTAGTATGATTATTTCTTTCAGGACTTATATATAATGCATTCTTTGTTATTCCATAAAAAGGATCTTTTTGGAAAAATGTATCAAACAAATCGAAATACATAACTCTATCAAATCTCTTTGAGTAATGATCCAAGAAATCATGCATTGCAGGAAATCGAAAGGTTTGGGCTTGAGCAATTGAAAAATTCATTTCATCAATGAATGGCAAATAGGCAATTGTTATTCCACACTTTCGAAATTCTTCTCGGAATTCATCTGAAATATTTTTTTCTGTAATCAAAACTACTCTTGCTTTGCATCCTGTGGATCTAAGACTTCTAAGGTTTGGGAGTCCATCTTGGGGATGTTTTAATCCAACTGCAATAACAACATCCCTATCATTTGAATAACTTTTTGTTGATAGTTTAGCATTACAATGTTTGCATCCAGATAATTCTAATTTATTTGAGAATTCTTGATCAAGATAGTTGTAATCAAATAGAACCTTATCATATTCATCAAAACCTCCCTTGATTTCAACAACAATATCTTTGTTTTTTGGAGGAATAAAATAATATTGATCTGATTTTTGAAATGGAGAAATTATTCTGAAATGAAGACCAAAAAAGGTTAACAATGCAAGAAATATCATTGATGCTGTGAAATAATGAAAATATACTAAAATAAAAATAAATATGATTAAAAAAACAAAAAATTCATTGTAAACCTTATCTATCGTAAACATCAATTGTATGATTATAATAAATGTCGATATCTTGTTTATTACAACTTCATTATTCCAAATAAAATCTTCATATTTCGCGTTATAACATATTTTATATATGATTACTATGATAAGAAGAATATATGTATATATCTCAAAACAGTGATCTCTATTGGAAGCTGCCATTCGAACATTTGCGAAGTCAGATTCTGTTGAGGAAACATTATTTGATTGATAATCAATAAGAACTGAAATATTATCTGATTTCGTAAAATCTGACATAACTTTGAAATGATATTTATCAATATGTTTTCGAAATATAAAGTGCTGTTCCATTTGAATAGGAGTTAACCATAAAGAAGCGTCCATTTTGTTTCTCCAACGTAAAAAATATGTATTTTGGCTGAATATATTTTGGAATATTTATTATAACGGATTGTTCAACTAAACTTTGGGGATTTTTCCTATCAATATGTGGACTAAAGTAAAATACATCCCTTCCATAACATGCAACTTCAAAAATGAAAATGAAAATCAACATGAATTCTGTAAAAACAAAGTATAAAAGTCGTCACTTTTCCTTATTTTTAATAAATTATGAAATATCATTACCAAAGAGTTTAAGAATTTCCCAAAAAATATTAAATCCTATTCAAATTCGAGAACTCATTCAATCCGGATATTATTTTTATTTAAGGCTGCACTTACGCCAATCTAACTTTAATTCAAATTTTTGACAACTGGCGTGAAGCATCATTGAAATTTAACCTTAAACAATTTAAGAATGCTAAAAGTGTGGAATTTTACAAATCGATGGGGAAAATTTATTGAGGGTACATCCATGTGATATTAAACGAAAACAATAAAAACGATTTTTATCTATCAATCAAAATGTATTCCTGCTATATATCTTCAGATCCAATTGAATATCTTGATATAACAGACACTAACAAAGACATCACATTATAAATTTAGCGTACAACTAGTTTATTTCATTATCTATATTTTAATTCTCCCATTGTCAATATTCATTCATAAGTCACAATCAACTAGAAGGAGACATTTTATATAGTGCAGGGTAATTCTGAGTCTGATTATATCAAAAAATTTTATAAATTACAGAAATTCCATTAGATCTCATAGTGAAAGACGTAATTTCACAGAACATGATAGATAATTCAACGAATTCACATATTAGTATCATCATCAAGCATGATGAACATCCAAATAACTAATAAAATCAGAGCATAAATGCCATTTCAATAGAATCTTTACAACCACATTAATCTTTTTCTCAATTCATTCTATTGATTCGAGAACTACTAGTAGAAGGAGTTGCGTTTGCCTCTCGGAAAATTTGGGTCATGATTAAATATCTAATAATATCCATCAGCACTTAGAATAGAATCAAGTATCAAGAGCTCAATGGAAGATTCTTGATATATGAAAAACCTTATCACATAATATTCTAAAAATGCATTTCCAGAGGAATAAGTTAGAATGCAAGGCATTTGTTCATTATAATAAAATAAAAATATAGTTTTATTTAGAAAGATGTTTCCAGAAAAGATGTATAGAAGGGTAACGTAAAGATTTGAGACTTAAAAGATTCTTGGAAACATGAGCAATATGACATGAAATCATAAGTCTTCGTGGAATTCCTGAATCAACAATCATTTGAACATAACCAGGAGATGTGTTCTCAATAAGCGGACATTGAAGAGATTTGCACTCATGGAATGCTTGAGTCTCAACATCTGAAACTGAAAGTGGGAAATTGATGTATTTGAGATTAAGACAGTTGTTGAATGAGTAATGTTCAATAACAGAAACACTTTCTGATGTAATATTGATTTTCTCAATGTTGTTGCTAGAATTGAATGAATAACTACAGATAACATCGCAACTAATGTCGAGTTCTTTGTCTTTTGATTGACTCAAATGAAAAATAAGTTCCCATTTAGTATTGTTTTTGTAGTATAAAGTATTATCAATACATTTGTATTTATCTGATGAAAAATTACTGATATTTGTAAGACAATTGCATTCTGAAATAGAATTAATTGAAAAAAAATCAAGTGAATTTGTTTCATTGAATATAATTGATTTTAGTTTCTTACAATAAAGAAATGAATATTTGGAAATAGTTTTAATAGATTGTGGAATTTTAATACTTTCTAATGAAGAACAATTCTCAAATGATTTAATTCCGATCCTTATTGATCCTTCTTGAATTGTAACTTTTTCTAAATTAGTACATCCACAAAAACAATTATCATTAATATTTGAAATATTTTTAACAGTATTTAATTTGATGCAATTCTCAAATGCATTATTCATAACAGTCAAAAGTGGTGATGAAAATGTAATTGATTGTAAATTAATGCAATCTTTAAATGATGACATTCCTAATGTTTGTAAATTAGGAAATGAATAATTAAATGATCTCAGATTTGAACAATTTCTAAATGCATCATTTTCTATATCAATGATTTGAGAATCTTTTGTGAAATAAAAATTCTCAATTGTAGAGTTTTCAAATGCTTTTTTGTTGATTTTTCTAACAGTTTTAGGAATTGTAATACTAGAGAGATATCCCCAATATTCATAAATTATGGTTTGATCAGAATTCATAATCGAGCAATCTGGTGTAATAATAAGATTTGGTTCATTTAGATATGAAATTGAAACATTTGTATATCTGAAAATTATTTTTAATGAAAATAGAGTTTTGCAAGTGAATGTCAATTTGACTTTTGGCAAATCATTCTTTGTAACAAATTCACATCCACTAACAGTCATTGGTGAATTAGGGAATTTAATTAGTTCAAGATTTTCACAATCAGCAAATACCCAATCACCAAAGTAATCTATTGGACCTAAAAAAGTAACATTTATCAAACTATGACAACTCATGAAAGCATATCTTACAATTCTTTTCACATTTGCTGGAATTATAATTGTTTTGATAGATGATTCATAAAAGCAATATTCTTCAATAGTTGTGACTGAGGTTGGAATTTTATATCCTGTTTTGTTTAAAATAAAAAATAAAATACTTTCATTTTTTGAATAAACAGCATTTCCATCTGTTGTTAAGTAGTTATTATTACCATGAACTGTAAGATTTTTTAATTGTCCATCTTTAAATGCTACTGCACTGACTTTAGAAACTTTTTCAGGAATTTGAAACGAAGTAATTGAAGTTTGAGTAAATTCAAAATATTCTAATGAAGTTAAATTTGTTCCTTCTTCAAAAGTAACATTTTGCAGTCTAGAACAGTAATAAAATGCATAATTACCTATTATTTTAACAGATGCTGGTATGACTATACTGGTCAAGTAATAATTAAATTGAAATGCATTGACTCCTATTTCAAAGAGTCCTTCTGGTAAAAGTATCTGATTGACATTAGTGCAGAAACAAAATGCAGAAGAAGATATTTTTGTAAGTTTGTTGCATGATGATAGATTTATTATGGCAAGATTTGTACAGTAAGAAAAACTATCACTTCCAATTGTCGTTAAGTTAGGATTTTCTTGAAATGAAAAGGAAGATAAAGTTTTGAGTTCGTTAAAGCAATTATCTTGGATAATTTCACATTTGGATGATATTCTAAGGTAGAGCGATGTATCAGTAACTTTTGTAAGAATTTTTCCGTCACTTGAATAACAACTTTTATCAATATCTGTGTAATTCATTTGTAAAGAATAATTAAAACATAATCATAATGAATTCTTCAAGTATTACTTTTCTTTATGTCTTTGTTTATGATAATAATTTGAGACTAAAATAGAAATTTTCAATTCTTTTTCACATCAATTATAAAAAGTGACAAATAATAATTAAAAGTGACAAATTTATGGAAAATTTTGAATCGAAGCTGCTTTCAGCAGACTTTGATGAAATCCAATTTTTAAATGAACTTTTTCCGACCGAAGATTCTATCAACACTCTTCCTAACATCTTATCTATTGTCGAAAACGAAATCAAACATTTCGATTCAGAAATGAAAGAAGCAGTTCGAACATATTCCACATTATCGAGCAAATCACAAAAGATTATCCAAGAAACATCATCTACAATCCAAGAAATCGACGACAAAGTTGACAGTTTACAAAGTCGAGCCACAAACACACAACTTACAGTTTCATCTATGTGTCAATCTATCAAAGCGTACGACAACGCTAAAACGCATTTAACCGAATCCATTACATGTCTTAAACGTTTACAGATGACAACCTTTGCAGTTAGTGACTTAGAAGAAATGTATAAGCAATGCAACTACTCCGAAAGTGCGGATCGAATTCTTGCACTTACTACATTATTAGAGTATTTCCAAGATTTTGAATCAAATCAAGAACTTGATAACGTTCGTCAACGATTTGAAGTGATCAAACGCGAGATCAAAAGCAAAATCACATACGACCTTGACCAAAAACTATTTTCTACTATTGTTGACTCCTCAGTTTCCCCCGCATTCAAAGTTATCGAATCATTAGGTGATCGAATCATGCAGGACACAATTGATTGGTTCTGCAGTAAGTACTTAGAGCCATACGTTCAACAATACCAGAAGACACCCCTTCAAAACACGAAAGATCGATATCTATGGCTTAAAAACTCATTAGATGAATACAAAGATAAGTACTCACAAGTTATTCCACAGAACTGGCGAATGCCATACAACATTACACTTAACTTTTGCATCGAAACACGAAAACATCTTCGAGAAATCATCGAGAAAGGCAAACCAACACTTGAAAACTTCACCATTGGCTTCGAGAGCACAGCGATGTTCGAACAAGCTCTTTCACAAGAGTTTGGTTCTAACATCATCAACGAGAAAGGTAATCAAGAGTGGAAGAACGACGACAAATTTGTTGGTCTTATTGGCTCCGCATTCACTAAACACACTCAGCTTTATTTAGCTGGCATCAACCAGAAACTTAAGTTACAAGTTCAAGATTTACATCAGAAGTCTAGTAAAATCATCGACAGCACAGACAAGACACTTAAATCATCAAACGAACTTGTCGAAATCATGAACAACATCATCAAGCGCTGTGCTGGTTTCAACGACAACAACGTTCTTTATGATTTATTCTTCCATCTTAAAAACACTATTTCTGAGTACACGGACCTTATTTTCAACGACCGTCCGACAAATCTCACATCAGATAAGAGTGTTCCTCTTTATTGCGCAACTATCAACACATTTCAGTTCTTTAAATCTATCATCAACGGTCTTTCTAACCGTATTCGTAGTTTTGTTAATGAAGACCAGAAATCAGGTGTCCGTGTTGACGACATCGACGACAAACTTGGCGACAACCTTGCACGTCTTGTCCGTGAACTTTCCGGAATGATTTGTAATGAGAAGTGTCAAAGTGGATTTTCTAGTTTACAATCAGGCAACTGGATGACATGTCCTGATAATCAGTGTGTTTTTGGTCAGAACATCTGCAAAGGATTAGAACAGATTATACCAGTATTGAAGAAATGGATGAGAGATGAATCATTTAATTATTTCAGATCTCAGTTCATTGTTTATTTCGTAAACAAAATAATTGAGAAAAGTTTCATGCACCCACACGTTGGAATGGCTCGTGAGAGATTGGCAATGGCTACTGATGATATAGAGAAGAAACTAATAGAACAGTTCGGAGCAGCACCAGAATCAATACAAGAGAAATTTATTAAAGAAACAGTTCAAAGAATAAGACATGGAATTAGAGTATTATTAGTTCGCCCTGAAGACATGCCTACAATGTATGTTGAAATAACAAATAAACCTTCTGCAAGTGACTTCAAGACATTCTTGGGTGCTAAAGGATTGAGTACTGCACAGATTAACCAATTGATGCAGACTTATAGTGATGAAGTGAAGAAGAAACAATCTGGGAAATAATATCTATAAAAAAGAATGTTTATTTTTTAATTTAAATGTTACTTTCTGAGTTAATTTAATATTTCAAAAATATCTAAGATCTTCGTAACATCATATCTTCTAAAATAGTTCAAGTTTTTGGATTTCATATGATATTAAAAAATAAACGAAAGAAATATCAGATAATTATTGAGAAACTTTATTAATTTCGAAACATGATAGCTAAAATACAGATTTGAGAACCTGTGCTTATATCCTTTGAGCTCATATTTATTGCAATGGAATGATATGAATTTTTTTTAGCTTTAGTTTTATGGGCGTGCAGAGAATTTTAAATGGTCGGCAAAATTTACGTTATTAATTTCATTTTTTAATTTTCAATGACAATTGCTTTTCCAAAGGCCGTTGCTTATAACACAGGAGGATACAAAACAATTGTTTATGATGAAAAAGAAGGAAAACAAGTCGTAGACATTTGCGAACTTGATACAGGCAAACTCCTTGCAAGAAAAGAAAGAGTTCGTCATACATCTGGCAGTGATGGACCATGGGAATGGACATATGGATCACCAATTGAACAGAAGCAAGAAGTTGAGACAATTTCTGCTTCATCTAAGAACCCAGTCTTCTTACGCCTTGATACAGACAATGAATGGCAATGGAGAGTTAGAAATATTCCATATCCTGCTAACTTTTACAATGTAACTGTTGATGAACCAAAGAATCAAATTGTAATTCGCACAACAAACAAGAAATACTTCAAGAGAATCGATGCTCCAGAAGGAGAAAAGTTTGTTCCATCTAAATTACAATGGGCTTGGTCTTACAATACATTAGTTATTCAACATGAAAAACCACCACGTGTTGTTGCTGCAGATAAGGAGCTTTGCAAGTGGCGTCGCGGTCTTCCATTACAAGAAGACAAAGACCCAGACTGCCGCGTTTAAATTTAATTTTTTATCAATAAAATAAACTGTATTTCTTACATAACTATTCGTTTTCAGTTTGCTTTTTATTAGAATACCAAAATTTTGCATATAGAAGGTTTATTCGCAAATTGTAACAATGAATTAAAATTTTTCGGGAATACGAAAGAAATGAAGGAGACACTCAATTGATATTTAAAGTGAAGAGGTTGGATGTATAAATAGAACTTATAGAAAGGAAATGCAGGCTGGATTGAGAATGAGATTAAAGAAGAAGACCATTACTCAATCAGTATCAAACTCTTTTCTGACGTTTAATGGGATATATAAGTTAGAATCCTTGAAGGTACCTTAGAATGTATTTTTGTCAATTTACACAAGATTTTTGTCAAATAATATTTACAAAATTTCTTCGTTTTTTTTGCACCAATAATTTTTTTTTATTATGACTGAATCAAACCCACCTGAGGAGAATGTTGTCAAAGAAGATTTTCGAACAAAGCAAATTCATGAATTAGAACAGCTTCAGATCGTTCTTGATGAAAATAACTCTTTGCGTGCAAAATATAATGCATTGCAAACTCAAGTTACTCCTCTCGTTGATAACTTTGGCCATGTATCAACTCAACCAATACAACAAATGCAAAATGAACAAGCTTTAACTCCAGAAGAAATTGAATCTTTACGTACAAAATTAGAACAAACGTTGGCTGACTACAGAGCAGAAACTCTTGCTGCAGGACAACTTAATTCAGAAATAGAAAAGATGTATACTACTCTTTCTTCATTAAAAATGACATTTCGTCTTGATCAAGATAATAAATTAACTGCTCAAAATAAAGCCTCAGCATTAACTCTGGAAAACTTCAGAAAGAAAACTCAAAGCGTTAAGGAAACTTGGGAGACAGAACGTCAACGTTTAGAGAAACAAATTGGATTTTTAAAGAAAGTACACGAATCTTCATCAGAAGATATCAAAGAGTTTGAGGAGCAAATGAGGACTAATAACAAGGGTATTATGCATCTTTCTTCTTCAATAACAATTGCAAAAGAAGATATTCGTGATTTTACAGAACAATTACAAAAGATCGAGCCCAAACTCAAAGAATTTGAAGAACTACAAAAGAAGCACCAACAAAGCGAAGTCCTTCTCGTTGAACTAAGTGATCAATTTGAATCTCTTAAAAAATCTGTCGAAACAGACTCTCTTACAGCAAATGTACGTCGACAGATTGACTACGGACAGAAGACAATCAATGAAATCAACCGCCAAATCGATAAACTCCAATGCGAAACTGTTGCAATTCAAGAGAAGTCCAGAGACTATCGTACACGTATTACAGACCTAGAAACGCGTCTACAGAAGATGAAATCGGAAGCTGAGAACCTTGAAAACGTTGCAAAAGATTTGGCTGCACAGAAAAAACAACTTCAGCTTGAATTAAGAGAATTTCGTGCAGTTTATGAAGAAAGAGGTGGCCAGAATGATGTTATATCTAAGAAGATTGAAGATGGTGTAACTCTTGATAAACAACCTTGGGAAATAAGAAAACAAATTATTTCATTGAAAAATGACGTTAGAGACATGGAAAATATCCAAAAGAAACAGAAAGAGTTCGAAAAGATGCTTACATCAACAACTGTTACTACTAAAGGAATTCCTCAAAGAAAGAGAATTCCAATGATTCCTTTGAGTAATCAAAAATAAATATTTGTTTGTTTTATTATAAATACCTTAATCCTTTTTACTCTCTCAATAGGATATTTCGGAAATAATAAAAATCATTTCAGAAAATCCTTAAATTATATCATAAAGAATAGTATATCATTACTATATTTGAGATATATTTACACTAAATGACATTCACATGCTTGAATTTATATTTTGAGTCTCTAATTTGATTAATCTCTCAGAAATTTTTACAATTCTAAGATATATAACCTAGTTCTTTTCATTGCTTACCACTTGTATAATGTGCAGAAATACAAATACTTTTACAATTCTTACATGCTTGTAAATAAACAGTTTCAAGAGCAAAAATCTACAAAAAAATTTATGAAAAAATCGCGATCATCAACAGCTCCAATCAAATCAGTTAGAAATGTTGGCGCTGTTGATATACCAGAGCTACCACTTAATGGAAAAACAGCAATAAAATCCACAAGAAGGCAAAAAGGAATCGTTAATTCACAAAGATCAGAAAAAACACCTAAAAAGACAAAATTTGATTATCACACAATCAATTCTAGAATAGGAACAATCAAAATACCCAATGTTGCACAAGAAAAAAAAGTCATCGAAAAAAGAGAACCTCAATCTGTTGAATATATGTCAGAAATAGAGGAAGAGGAAGATTTCCCAGACGAAGTGTCTATCTTTGCAACACTTTCTCTCTTAAAAACAATGGAACCTGAAGTTATAATGCAATGTTTAAGCTCAATTCCGATTTTTTTGCGTACATTAGAGATGGATGGTAAACTAGATGAATCAATTATCTCATCTGTTAGCTTGATACTTGAATCCTCAGAACTTACAACTTTTGTAAACAATTTAGTAATAGAAACAAACGTGTTTCAAGCAATTTCTCAATGTGAAACAATTCAAGACATCGAAGCTACTATCCCTAAAGTAATACCAATTCTCAAATGCATAGTTTGGGAAAAAACGTACAATTCAAATTACTTTTTCTCTCAGACTTTATCGGAATTGCTACCTATAGAGCAATCGATCATCGGACACTGCTTCAAAATCAATGATGACATTGTTACATCTGATCCAGGAGATCATCCAAATTTCAGTGTTGACAGAGATTTGCCAATAATGCGTGGAATCGAGTCCATGATACTTCTACCAGTCAAAGATGTCAATGATGACATTGTTTGTGTAATACAATGCGGAGGATTATATGATCAGAAAAATAATCAGGTTCCATTCAATAATTACTACACAGAAACTCTTAAAATTGCAAGGACAATTGTTCAGAAACGTATTTTTGCTAAATTTAAATCAAGAATAATTCCATCGAATATTTCAGGGGCATTTACGGAATTAGACTTTTCCACTATACAATATACTCTAAATAAAATTACTTCGTACATCCAGAAAATCGTTCCCTGCGAATCTTGCGAAATTTATTTATTCGATGATCGCTACAAGAAAATGACTCGCCTTAATGATGGCAAAGAGTTTGATAGTCAGACAGGCGGCATTGCATTTCAGGCGGGTTTAACTCAAGATTTGCTCAATATTCCTCATGGTCAACATAATCCTTCGTATAACCAAGATATTGATGGAAGATTCGTTAATAAATCGATCATAGCAAAGTCGTTCTTCATCACAAGAGGCCATTATATTGTTGCTTTTAGGGCAAAACTTAAAATGCCGATATTCTCAAACGAAGATGCTGATTTCATGCAATCTGCAGCACCAATTATATTTGATGCAATCAAAGTATCAACATATGTTCAAAAAGAGTCAGATGATGCCAAATCTAAAATGAAATCTACAAACATCATTCATGCAACGTATAGCGCACTTTCTGTTGTTGCCCGTGATGGTGTAGATCCATGGATTGCTGCTCGCCAAGCTGCAAACGCTTTCTTTGGAACATCCAAATTCTTTATTGCTATTTTTGATGGAAGATCAATGAATTTCCTTCCTACAGCAGTTAAATGGCCTTTTGATGAATGTGTCTCTGGAATTGCATATAATTATCGTGAAATTACTCGTGGAAAGCAAGGAGGAGAGAATTTTCCGGAAAAATTGTATTCTGATCTAGGAGTAAATGCGCATAACTCAATTGCATTTCCTTTCCGCAGAAATGCTAAGATTGCAGGTTCAATTGAAGTTATAGATCCAATTGTTCCTGACATTGATGAAGAAAGTACACATCTTTTTGGTTGCTTAATTGCAAACATATTTGATAAAGTACTTTCAAAGCGGAATTCTATTGTTTGAAAATAAAAAATTATGTTTATTGAATAGAGTTAAAAAGTTTATGATCTTTCACTCAGACACAGTTTTTTATTAATAAGGATTTTTTTTTTTGATGATTGAAATTTGGCTCATTCGGGATGAACAAGCTGAAGCCCTAGCGGGCTTCAGCATTTTCTTCTTTGAAATGAGTTTGGTAGGGTAAGAGTGCTCGGAAATAGGAGGATTGGGAAAATGGATATAAATCATCTGTATAATCTGGAAATAGATGAAAAAATAGGGGACTCTATCATTTGGCCAGATTAGTCTCGTTTCTAAAAGGATCAACGAATTTCTTCGGGTGAAAAAGTTTGTTGAGTTAGGCTGCTATGAAAAAGTAAAAATAAACTTTTGAAAAAATTGTGAGATTGGCAAATTTGTTTCGAGTCTTTAGATGCTGTTAAATTATAAAATTTAGCTTTTTAAATTAAATTTTATTTGAGAGAAAAAAACGTAACGCGAAATTTCTTTTTTTCCCTTCTCTAAAAAGAATCAAAATTTTCATGAACGTTAAAAGTTCTGAAAATTCGAATGCTTGCAAACGTTTTTTTTTTTTGACTTGTCAAAAATTTTAATGTTTTCAGAAGATCCACTTACTAATGCATGCGAAAAAGAAAATCTCAAACGTATTAAATCTCTTGTAGAGAATGGTAATTATTTTGATTATAACAATCCACTCATTTTAGCATCACAACACGGTCATCTTGAAGTTGTTAAATATCTTATCTCTGTTGGAGCTGATAAAGAAGCAAGGGATGGTGGAAATTATACTCCACTCATTAAAGCATCAGAAAATGGTCATCTTGAAGTTGTTAAATATCTTATCTCTGTTGGAGCTGATAAAGAAGCAAAGATTTCTTTTATACGTACTCCACTCGTTTGTGCATCAGAAAATGGTCAACTTGAAGTTGTTAAATATCTTATCTCTGTTGGAGCTGATAAAGAAGCAAAGAATGTGTTTGGATATACTCCACTCATTAAAGCATCAGAAAATGGTCATCTTGAAGTTGTTAAATATCTTATCTCTGTTGGAGCTAATAAAGAAGCAACAAATCTTGATGGAAATACTGCTCTTGATGTTGCAAGTGGTTACGTGAAAAAATACTTTTTGGAAGACAAAACAGAATAGAGAATAGTTAGTCATTTTATGAGAGGAGGGACGACAATTAAAAATAGATTGATTTTATATAACATATAATGAATAATAGTACTTGAGATAATATTGTTGGCTTTCTTCATTAAAATAGTCTAGTTTCATAACTCTGTCTGGGAATCTCAGTGCAAAATTGCTTTTTCAACTATTTTCTTTCACACAGTGCAAATATCAATAAATATTCAAGAACAGCACTTCATTTTTGCAAAAGATTGTGACTGTTTTTTAGCCATTAAGAATTCTTAAGGGTGCACCCGTATGTACGTTTATTTGAGAGGAGGAGGATTACCCTCTCAATTTTGAGGGATTCGTTAGTTTATTTTCTCGATGAATATGCAATAAAATTTGATTTTTGCCTTATCAATATACTTCATATAATATACACATGTTCATGTAAAAACTTTTTTCCAAAATCCTCAGGAATTAAGGGATTTTTGAATTTTAAGAATTTTTTTCGAATTTTTTCGAAAAAAAAATATTTTCAGAACAGCCTTAACGGCTAAGATTTAGGAACAATGTTAAGTATCAAAAAGAAAGGAGGTCTGATATAGACAACATATATCGTTGAAGGTTGAAAAAATCTCTAATATTTGAGCCCAAAATTTCAAATTTTAATTTTTTGAAAAAAGAGGCCACCCGTATGCACGTTTATTTGAGAGGAGGAGGATTATATTTTTGAAAGGGTGAAACATTATGAATATGTTAATTATATAATAATATGTATTATTATAAAAAAGAAAAAATAAAGCACGTTAAAATTTTTCTTTCTTGATTTTTTACAAAATCTACTTAGAATTATGCAAAATATGACTAAATAATTATAAATTTCAAGTTAAATTTTAATTTTGATAAATAATTTAAATTTCAAAATATCAAGTTCAGTTCGACTATGTATGTAGTAATTCCTCAATAAAGTGCCAAAACCCTATTAAAATATATGAACATTTTCAACATTTTAATGTTTTTATTTAAAAATTTGATGGAATATGAGCTTCAAACAATTATTATGTAAATAAAAATAATTAAATATATGTATTTATTCGTATTACAACCGTAGTAAGTCGATTCTTCCTTTCTTCTACTGAGGTTTGAATTTGATTTCGAATTGTAAAGAGATTCAAAGGGAAAATACTAGCGGATAAAAACTACCGCCATGAAAGGGTCATAATGGAGTCAAGTTGTATTTTTTGATATTTTTTGCTTTTCGAGCCTAAATAGGTAGCCAAGATAATGCCTAAAAATAAGGTTCTAAATTCTGAAGTTTACATGATTCTCTCGTGTGCACCCTTAATATTATTGATAAACAAATGTAATTTCTATCAATATTTCAAATCAAAACTAAAAAAAAATGCTTGTATAACTCCACAATAAGTCTTTTATATATAAAAGATGCTTGAATGGTAACAAAGAGAAAATTTATAAGTATATAATCTATATTTTATAAACTCATATAAAATCTATATAAATCTAATCAAAGATCTTTGAGCATTTCTTCTTGCCAGTCCAATGGCATTTCCAGAACGTGCTCCATAATCAACTGACCTCTTACATCACCTTTGTAATGCTTCAAAAGATTATGTACAATGTTGTATCCGACTTTCAAAGCTCCTTTCAAAATCATCTCATTTGAAGACAAACAATCAATGATATCATGAACAGTATCGAGATCATCTTCATACGGTGTGTAATGGTCCTTCCTTTCGAAGTCAACTGTGAACTGGGAAGCAATTCCTTGTAATTTATCCCACATTACGTGTCTTACTTCGATATCTGCTCCTTGTGTGACGCACATTAACGCGTATTTCTGGAAAGCAGGTAATTCGTAGCCATCCATGAACTTTTCCAAGAATGCTTCAGTATCACATTCCCAAATGTGGACAGAAGTCATCGGATCTGGGATTGTATCCAAGAATTTCTCGAAAAGAGGTGCTTGCTCGAAGCAATCCTTGCGAAGGAAGAATCTTCCGGTGAAATGCAACGGAAAATACTTTCCAACTTCGAAAATTCTTGGTAAATCCGCGGCAGGACAATTATCAATGATCTTAAAAACTTCCTCTGGGTTGAGTGGTCGGCCAGGAGGAGCTCTTGAGTTAAATAAATGTTCCATAAGAATATCAGCGCTTGGATTTGTGAAAGTAAAGAGACATTTGAACAAATCAGGTAGTAAACTGAAGTCATCATGCAACAAAACGTACTCGACAAATCCGACAACTTCATCTCTCCTTTCCCAGCATTCTTCTTCGGTTTTTGGAAATGCTGGTAGCTGTGGCTTCTCATGTATGATCTCAGAAAGAGCAACAACTGGTTGGCAGAACTTGGATTTTTTAATAATTTCTCTGATCGTGTTTTCGTCGACCATCTTATGCAGTGCGCAGTTTGTTACGAACTCCAAAACAAAGTGGTCTGGGCAAAGTTCGATAGATCCCTTTAGAAGCCAATCATATGGTGTTGGATCTTCAATTCTTGAGAGTAAAATGATTTGTACGATAGTTGGCATCTTCTTTATATCATCAATAGGCGGGATCTTCGAATGGAATCTAGAAATAACTGCAGCTTCTTTCATCATTTCGATATCTTTGTTTTGTTTAAGAGCTTTGTCAACAAAATTACTTCCAATGATAATTCCCCAGTTAATAAATGCTGATCTGATGAAATGGAGCAAAGGAAGTGAAAGTTTTGCTTTATCTAGGAATTTCATTGGAATTTTTTCACTTCCTACAAGAACTGTAGCTGCAGCATCGTACATACGTGAATCAAGCTCGCCAATATTGCAAAGATCAAGTAAATATGGAGCAAAATCATTTGTATAAAGAGAATGCATCGGAATTGCAGGATAAGGGTAAATTGAAAGAGGTTCTTTAAAGTGAGTAACGAGCATTAAGATTATTGAACCTGCGTATTGCTGTATAGTTGCTGATGTTGGAGGATTGTATGCATTTATGCAAATTTTGTGAATTTGAACCATTTTTAAGTCACTCATTATACTTTCACTGTTGTTTTTGACAATTTTCATGAGAGTTTGGAATGCTGCAGCTCTTTGTGAGATGTTTGCGGACCTACATAAAGTAGCCAATTCATATATAGCGTATCCTGGAGTATCTGGGCTATCTCCATGATTATGAAGTCCCTGATTGTATGTTTCATCTGATGATTTCATTCCTGTTATATTTTTACCGCTTAAATCGTATCTAGAAGCATTTTTCGTAAGTGACTCATCTGGAGGAGGCATTGATTCTTCTTCTGCAACTTCTTTCTCGATAGATGGTGGCGGTGGTGGTGGCTTTTCTTTTAGGACTGGTTTCGTAGTAAATTTTTTAACTTCGGGAAAAGCTTGAGTAGTGACTTTCTTTTTAGGTGGAGGACGAGACTCGTGCTCTATCACATCACCCGTCACTGCAGCAATGCTTGATTGATGATTTTCTTCGGTCATTTGATGAAACAATTATAAAATAAAAGGGTCTCTCTAAAAATTTCAGGGGATAATTTGTTATAAATTTTTTTTATATATGGAAGTTGGAGAAACAAAGCATCAAGAGATTCCATATAGTTATAATAAGATAAGGATTCATCAAACTCCAGCTCATGTTTCAAATCTTCAAGGCGTTTCTTCAATTTTTGAAAAATATCGTTGGCAAACAGCAGGATCTGTCAAACCAATCGAACAAGGATTACCATTAGTATCAGAGTCAACTTTATCGCATGATTTTGCAGATGCAAAAGAAATTGATGAAAAAATTAAATTATTTGATGAAAAAATTACAGAAGATCTTCTTAATCCAGAAAATAACATAGACTTACCAAAAGAATCGAAAAGAGAATACAATACTGAGGATGAAACACAAGGACATCAGTCATCTTTCAAAAAATTATATTTATCTATCAATCAGAAGCGTTTAGCAAGACAAAATCGACCTCAAACAGGAATATCGAAACAAGTAGACTACAATGGCAATCTTATTGACTGTATGGGAAAACTTACACTTAGATCTGTCCAAGGGAAGGAAAATTTAGAAGCAGGAGAGAATCCTTTTCCTGTTATTCCACGCCGACAAGAAACAGTCGGTATTCCAAAGCGAGCGGAGTCACAAATCGTAAAAGTTAATATGAAAAAAGTATTTCGACCAAATTCACGTCCATTTACAGAAATAGATAACGAAGAAGATTTTCCAATGAGTGTTTTCAAACTTGGCAAAATTAAAACCGTTTTTTCAAGAAATACATTAGAATTAATGAAAAAAGAGGAAGAAGAGAAGAAACAATCATTGTTAGTTGATCTCAGCAACGAAGATGTCTTTTGGACAAAAGACAGAGTTCCTTTCACACGTTCCGAAGTCGAAATGATGAAAAAATTCAGAGAAGATTGTAAAACAAAAACTTCTTTAGCAAACAGAAAAAGAAGTCAAGTAATGAAGGAACGACAAGATGCAATATCACGTACATTCCAAAGCCGTAAAGCCTTTGAGAAAGAAGTTGAAATAACAGAGAAAGTTTGCAGAAGAACAATGACTTTGCCTCCAGGAAAAGGAGAGGAACATTACTTGAGTTGGACCATGGCAGCAAAAGAAGCAAAAACAGATCCAAGTTCTTTACCTTATAGAAAGAACGCTTGGCAGAAGCTTGGCCACCTTATTAAAGAAATAGGTGGACTAAAAGAAGGAAATTCGAAATTGTTAATCATGACATTTCGAAGATTGTTATTGTCTGGAGAGCCAATTTCAAAAGAGACACTTTTTGACACATTGGAAATACTTGATAGAAGTGAATTTGCTGACACGGATACAGCTATGACAATAGAGGCAATGAGAGAGGCATGCGGAGTATCAACAGATGAGTTATTAAACTGGATGAAATCTAGAAATTGTCCTACAGAAATAATGGTCGAAATTCCTGATCACATTAAGAGACAAAATAGAATGAAAGCGTTGAAAGAAAAGAAACAATCTGAAAAAGATAGATTGGAAAGAGTCAAGAAATGCGATTTTGTTATTCCCGACGTAATTAGAGGTTTTGCTGGTCTTAATGAGGCTGAAGAATTATAATTAATATGTTTCTTATGAATAAATATGTGTTTGTTTATCATTGTATATAATTGATAAGTTCTTTTAATAAATTTGAGTTGAAATGAAGATAATTTGGTGATTTTATCTGCACAATGTAAAGCCAATACATTTGAAATAATGAGTCTTCTTGTATCATTATCAATAACTCATTTGTGAGTGATTATATTTTCAATCAATTTTTTATGAATAATTTTTAATGAAATCCTACTAAAATAACAATTATGAGACAAGTGCATATAAAAATATTTTCAATTTTTTCCAAGCTGAAATATATGAACTTGTCTCATAATTTGATATGAATTGCTCAAAATTAACCATTAAGCATATTTAATATACACAATGAATCGCTTTTACCTATATGAAACCGCTTGAGTTATAAACTTTATTTTGCATTATTTATAAAATCTTTCATATCATTTTGTAACAATAAAGCTTGAGGGGATGAAATAGTTTTGAGCATTGAGATTAGATTTAATGGGATGAAATGCTGTAAAAACTAATATAAATATGAAAATTAAACATTTTCAATTTATTTTTTCAATAATAAACAATAAACAGCTTATTTATAGCTGAGTGTAATACTTTTGGAGGTCACCGATCATTTTGGCGACTGAACTTGACTTTGGTATTTTAAGTTCAGTACAAAGCTTAATAAGACAAGAAATGAGAGCATTTCTGTATGGATTGTCAATAGGATTAGCTTTAGTGATAGTATCCTTCTTAATTTCCAAACCTGTAAATCTATCTTCGATTTTCCATGCTCCTTCGAACATTGATATGCGGTAATCGAATGATATTCCTGTAAATGCTGAAAACAAGACAAGGAAATGTCCCAAATTGAAGCAGAACATTTTTTGGGATTGAATATCTGGATCGTCAATTTTTATGTTGCAAAACAGCTGTTTGTCTTCTTCTAATTGGAATAGTGGATTCAAATCAGCTAGGAATTGCTTTATATCAGCTTGAGAAGGAGTAAAATCGATATTATTTGGAACGAAATCTGGTTTTGGAGGTACGTTGTCTAAAAGACATTTTTCTGTTGATTCTGCCTTCTTTTCTCTTACTTCATCGTTAATTTTGGCATCGGGATCTAAAAATGGAGAAACTGGATAATCTTCTAGCTCTTTGACTTTCTTCTCGTATGTTATTATCCTGTTTCGACTTCTTTTTTCGTTGAATTGTGTAAATTGGTCGAAAAATTCGTTAAAACCTTCAGAACAGAGAGCTTCAAATCGCTGTGTGTTGGTTTGGTTTTGCTCGCATGCTTTTTCGTAAGCCATTCTTTTCTGATAGTGTAAAATATTGAGTTTGTCAATGGAAATTGTTTTCTTTGTTGCATCTCCGTTTTTAACAAAGAAACCTGCTTTAAATTCAAAAATAAATGAATTTGACAAGTTTTCTTTTCTTATTTTCTCTTCCGTTTGAGAAATAAATGTTAATTCGTCAAGGTCATACTCAAATTTTTGATATCCATTGAGATCTATTGATAATTTCGAGCAATTTAGAGTTGACAACATAGGGTAGTCATAAACACGCCAAAACCAAAGCCCTCTACTTGTTGTTGGTTCTTTTAATTGGTTTGAAACTCCATTTACTTCAATTGTTCCGCCAGTAAACTGGATGTCTGGATTTGGATTAAATAAAAGTGTTTGAATTTGCTCAACTTTAAGGATACCAGGTGGCAAATAAAAGAAATATGACTGCTCACTCATTTTGTCACTTTTTGTTGGAATATAAAAATTCAAAATTTTGATTAGATGCAATTCCATGCATTTCTAGATATATATCTTCATTGCAAATTAGCACATTCGATATTTCATTATATGCTTTATATCATATATTAGCCATAAACCCATATTTGATTATTTTTCCCTTCAATCTATTAGAATCATACTTTTCAAAAAAAAAACTGCGATGAGCCGAAAATTATCACATTTTAAAACCCCGAAGGCCCTAGTTCTATTTTTCCATATGAAAATAGCTTATCTTCTGATTTCACATATACCAATTGTCAAGTGATTCGTCTAGAATTACACCTCTTCATTATGCAGCAGAAAACAAATATAAATAAATTCATGAACTTCTTATTTCACAATGGGCAAAATTTTAAATGCAGATGCGCTTTATATAAAGAATTAGCATGTGGATCTCTTATTTGGCAAAGAATTGCTCTTTTGTCTGAATCATGCATTTGATCTTAATATTTCAATTGGAATATAGTGCTAAACAATTTATAAAATCATTACAGGATATGTGATTCATGATACTATCATGAATATTGCAACCGTTTCCAAGAATCCTTCCAAAATTTAACTATAAAAATGTTTTCTACTGAAAGTTTAGCAATGGTGAATATAATAATAAGATTTCTGCATAAATTTTTAAACAGCTCAGACATGTGACGTGATAAATGAATGTTGAAGATCTTCATGCAGAGATTTTCGACATTCCGGACGAATGCTTTTCGATAGATGCAAGTTATACATATATAAATGGTGGATTTAATATCATTGGTGGTTACCGTGATATTAATTCCCTTACCCAACGAGGAAAATCTAAAGATTTTAAAGATTCTCCAAAATCAGGCAACGTACATTGGATAAAGTTTGTAGAAAACGAAATAAAAACGAAAAGTGACTACGTCAAGTACACAAATCTTATTGGAGCTACTTTAATTTCCATAAAAAATGGACAAACTACAATAACCTTTGGAGGAGCGTATAAAGTTCCCAATGACGACAACACATCATTTAAAGTAGAATTCAATAATTATCTCACAATTCATACTTGGGATTCTGATGGTGTTGTTTTAGGAACGAAACACTTTAAGAATACGGCATCATCAACACCAGCTAAGATTACTCAGTCAGATTCGTCAACAGAACAATGGCCATGCGCTCGAATTTTCGCAGGAGCTTGTTGGGATCAAAATAATGAAAAGATGTGGCTAATTGGTGGCGAAGGCATGACCAAATACGGAGATATCTCAGAAGGATTAGTAAAACTATCCGAAATCTGGAGCTGGGACATGAAAACTTCGAAATGGACATTATATCCAATTCAAAACCGAGATTTACACGAAAGATCCGTAGCTTTCTTAAACGGACATATTTACATACTTAGTGGCCAGGATGTCGCTAATTGTATCTGGGATATTGATACATCTAACCCAGATTACCTTAAATGGGAAAGCATACCCATCCCAGATATTTTCCAAGTTCCGATTAGTGGTTCTAAGATCTTTATTTGCGAATCTTTGCTTTTAGATCATTATTTGTTTATTACTCCAGGATCTGTTCATGATTTCTATCTCTCGATGCTTTCTACCATTAATATTACTCCGAAGAAGAAGTTTAATAGCTCTCCTTTAGCTTGGACAGCTTATAATGTTATGACCGACGAATTTACTCAATATAAGTTCTCTTTGACAGTTCCGCAGACAGCATATAGCACAATTATACAAGATAGAGTATTTATTTATATAATTGGAGGCTTTATTACCGATCATAACAAAAAATGCGTAAATTACAACAAAAAACTCATCAAAATCAAGAAAACTCATCTCTTCGCACACGAAACATTTGACTTAGTCAAGTGTCCGAAGAATTATATCCTTGATTCGCAGCCAATTATACCAGAATTTCAAAAATTCCAGGAAGTAATCAATTCTCACCTGGAAGGAGACAATAATGATAAGAGAGACAGTTCCGAACGTGGCTACAACTATTTCTTGAATTTACAGAAGAAAACTGTCTTAAATTTCAATGATTACGTATTTTATGAGAATTTAGTAGCAGAAAAGAAAGTATTAGTAGCAAGATACGAAAAATGGTCAGATGCTCTAACTGATTTGCCTCTCTGTTTCGTCAGAGACCTTTTTATTTTTGCTTATACAGATTGGATCGAAGAAACCGATAGAGAGTTCATTTTCATAGAGCTTATGAAGTTCATAAAGCTCTTGTGGCAGTATAAGTTCTACAGATTGATGTGGCTTGAGCTTGTACAGTGTTTTTCGAAATTATCCGTAGATAAAGTCATCGCGTTATGTAGCATGACCGATGAAAGTAATGTTTTAGCTGATGACAAAGAATGCGCACTCTTCAAAATCGTCCTCTACCATACATTAAATGAAAATATGGACAAAATAGCAACGATCATTAACTTGTCACTTTTATCAAATTTGAGAGACTATCCCTTAATTATCCAAAGTCTTAAGAACAAAGAAAAAATCATAATTAACATCTCCGCGGATAGTTTACCCGTTTCTACTCTAGAATATGACTTAGCTTTGATGAGAGATCTTTCTATTGTAAAATGCAAGGATGGAAAGATACTTGCGAACAAGAATCTCATTACAGGTGTTGACTTCTCGCAGTATGACTCGAAAATAGTCAAAGCTGCCTTGACTCACCGAACAAAAAATTCTATTCAATCAATAAAAGACCTGATCAGCATCTTTTCATTACTAAACGACGCGGATAACATTAAATATGACTTTATCTACGGCTGCTTTAGGAATAACCATTCTACAATTGCAAATTTCTTATTAAAAGATTCAGAAAAGCTTTTCCAGCTGCTTTTCCTAGAAAAAGACCAGATCTGCAATTACATAATAGAAATAATTGGCGAAAAAGATCCAAAAGCCTTGATTTCCATTCCAGATTTCAAAATCGAGATACATTCGAAATGTCCTGTTAATTTTAAGATCAACAGTTTGACATTTGGTGGTACAAAAGAACAGATGTATCAAATTGCTTATGCTTTTTATTTAAACTTGGAATTTGAAAAGATTTCTCACAAAATTCCAAATGGTAAGATGGCACAAGCATTTCTTAGGCTTCTATCTGATAATGAACCATTCCTTTATAAGCAAGATCTCATAAAAGTCAAAGATTTCGTAATTAATATTTTATTTGCAGAAGAAGATGGTTCGATAAGGTCAGAACAGTTTGCAGAAATGTTTGTTGACTGTTTCAGAGCAAAGATACATGAAGAATGCGCTAAAAGATGCAAAGATACAAAATGGATCGCAATTCTCGCTGACAACAAAGCGAATGAGTTGGATTCGAAGATGATAAACTGGATATTTAATACAACTAACCATGATTCAGCTCCTAACATTACTTACGAAGAAAGTGTCGATTTACTTGCCGAACAAAAGGATAATTCGTTTGTTTGGGTTAATCAATAGATTATTTTTATAAATTTTTGTATGATTATAAAGTATATTATTTATTTTGAAGAATTTTTTAAGGGCGCATTTACGCCCCTATGACATGGTTAATTTTCAATGACGCTTCACATCAGTTGTCAAAAATTTGACTTAAAGTCAGATGGCCGTAAGTGCAGCCTTAAGGGTGCATTTACCACTTAAAAAAAAAAAAAAAAAAAGGTAGTGGGGCTTCCAGGCGCGTTGCGCCCTCTAGCCCTGAAGATGTTTAGTATAAATGAAGTTTTTATTCGGAGGGCTTCCAGGCGCGTTGCGCCCTCTAGCCCATAAAAATTTTTGAGAGTCGTCGCCGTTGACTTTTTTGTAGAGCGCTCAAAATAGTATAACTTTGTCCGGACAAGTAAGGGTCTATCGTCGCCACAGGAAAAGTTACAGGCGTTCCAAGGAAGTATACTTTGAGAAGCCTTTTCCCCCTTATAGAATGAGATAGGACGGTTATTTTACAAAACTGACAACACTTTGACCGAGTAGTTTTTTGTGCTGAACAAAAAGTGTCATATAAACATCTGTCAAAAACCGCTTTTTAACTTCACTTAAAATGCCACGTAAGCTACGTAAGAATATACGTAAGAGGAAGAGAGCATTGAAACATCCAATAGTAAAACTGACACCACAACAACAGTTGCAACAACAAATGATGAATGACCCCACTATGTTGCAACAAATGTCAAGCAATCCTATGCTTTTAAACCGAGTTTTTGGTGCACAGAGTGGAGGTTTAAGAGCGGCACTTTTAGCGAAAATGGCAGGCTATGGTGGAGCTGCAGACGGAACAGCTTATAACCCTCAAAGTCAAATGAATTTGAGTTCACTCAAAAATCAAATAACAGATGTCAAAAAGTCAAACATAGACATACAGAAACAAATAAGTGAAAACGAAAAGAAACTAGAATATGACAGACACACAAAGAAACTCAATGAGTTAAACGTAGAGAAAAAGAAGAAAGAAGAACAACTGAAAGAACTAAGTACAGAGGAATATGCGAAAAAAAGTGTCAGAAAAAGCAGCAGAAGTAGCAAAAATGGAACAAGATGTTATAAATTTGAAAAACCATACTACTCAATATAAAGTACTGAAAGATGAAGAAATAAAACAAAAGCCATGAAGACATATATGGATAGCGATGAGTATAAAAAAGAAGTTGAAGCAAATGTAAAGGCAGAAAAACTTTTACAGTTGCAAAACCAAACCGTACAGTATGAAAACTTAGCACAAGAAAGTAAAAATAACGACGCAGCCATGCAAAAGGCAATGAAAAGCGCAGAATATATAAAAGCTAACAATGACTGGTTAGATGCCCAAGCCAACGCTAAAGCAGCCCAACTTATAGGGTCAATAAGGACAAAAATACAAGCGGATGAAGACAGTTCAAATGAAGCTTTAATGAATGCTGACTTTAAGAACGCCTTCGAAGCTCTTCATAGTAAGGTGAAACTAGTGAACGACTTCTCATCTGGAAAGAAACTGAAGTCTGAAGGTTTCGACAAAGAGTTAAGAGAAGTAGCACAAAATATGACGAAAATAACAGATGCAGCAACGAGACAGGCAGTTCAAAGTGCCTATGACGCCGTTAGAGCAACTGTTGTGGAAAGTCAAGAAAAAGAGTTACAACAGACCAAAACAGACCTAGTAAATGCTTTCTTAAAAACGAAAAGTCAGGTAGGACATTACGCTGCAGATGGAACATATGTGCCAGCTGGTGGAACTTATATACCAGCTGGTGGAACTTATATACCAGCTGTTGGAACTTATATACCACCAAACCCTCCAAGAGAAGCACCTGCACCAGGACTACCTAAAACATTTACATCGTCACATGGACACAGACACAGGCATGCACCAAAACCAACACAACAACCAACACAACAACCAACAGTTCAAAACACTGCACCACAACCAACAGTTCAAAACACTGCACCACAACCAACAGTTCAAAACACTGCACCACAACCAACAGTTCAAAACACTGCACAGCAACAACCACAAACAGAGCAAGGACATAAAAGAAGTAGAGAACAAGGAAACCTAGAATTCTTAAAAATGCTTAAGGAAAATTATGGTTACCCAGATACTCTTGACTTTAGTGACAGATATAAAGAAGCTATTAGAAAGTTCAAGGAAGGAAATACTGACCCGAACCTATTTAGCTTTATGGCTCAGCACCAAATGGGATATAATTTCAAACCTGGAAAATACAAGCTCGCTAAGGGATATGATTTAATAGCATATCATCCAAATGACATGACTGAATTTACTCCGAGATATTTGGTGTCAGAGCTAAATGACAATTCAACTCTCTTCATGAAACGCGTAAAAAATAGAGACGGAACGAAAGAAGAAAGGTTTATGAGTCCGGATGACTTAGATAGGGAACTTGTTAAAAACGGTCTCGGAATATATGAAATGCCAGCAGATGAGGTACAAGAAACTCCACAGGAAGAAGTTCAGATACAACCAGACATGGAAGAAATAGTTCAGCAACAACAGCTAGAAGAGCCTGAAGGAAACGAACAAGTCCCTCCTTTGGAAACTAACTTCACAGAACTAGATGAAGATTTGGAACAGCCGAAAAATCTTGACCCTCAACAAGAGTATGAGGTGAATATGGAATCTTTCCAAGAGTCTAAGAAAAATTCGGCTGACATGGTAGAAGAATATCGAAAAATGTTTGCCGACATACAAAAGACTCCAACACCAGATGAAAATATTCAGCATAGAATGGAAGTACTGAAAGAAAATGTACGCAAATACAATAACCCTTTTTACTTACGACCATATAACGTTCAATCTTTGGCTGAACTCGGTGAAAATAAAAGGTTAAATTTCAACAAAACATATAGAAATGAAACATTGTTTAAAGTTCATTCAGAACCTAACCAATATGGAAACAAACCTACTTTTGTTTCTGCAGACTATGGAACTACAATGAGATGGGGTCATAAAGCAAATCCGGATAGGTGGTTCATAAACTTACAACCACAATTCCAAGAAGTTGTAGACGCAATGGAAGTGAATGGTGAACCAGATTTAGCTGGTATTTTCAGCGCGGCTTTAATGCCATTGAAAGATATGAAAGATGCAGATATTTTGGACCAGTATGAAATGAACATGGCTGATGGAAATATAACACCTGACGTTCTAGAACATTTATCTCAAAGAACTACACAGAACCATAGAGATGGTATATTTGGTGAAGAGTTTAGAAAGAAAGTTAGGGAGACAGAAGGAAGAGAACCTATTGTACATGACCTTGCAAACGAAAGTTTACAAAATGTCATAAAAACTTACTTTGCAGACAATGAACCGAGAAGGGATGAATATTTAAGAAAACTCAAATGGACAGTACCAAATGAAATGTTAGTATTGAAAAACATGTTCCTTGACAAAATAAAACCAACTACAGAAATAAATGACGCAAGCCTGAAACATTGGGTAAAAGCTTTCCCATTCACAAAAGATATTGTTGGTAACATGGAAAGAAAACCAGAATGGCTACAAAAACATATATTTGGAAACGAGCATATTCCATATGGACAAGCTCTGTTTGAAGAGCTTGAACCGGAAACTCAGGAAAGAGTCATGCAAACAATACGCGAAGACTCAAATACAAACTATGACAAACTCTTTCTAGGATATAGGTTACCTGAGATGGGCGACCAGAGCCCAAAGGCAAAAAGGACATGGGAAATTTACAACATACTAGGTGAACATGAGGCAAAGATGCAACAACTTGAAGCAGAGGGCAAGTTACCAAAAAAGAAGAGAAGAGTAGAACAAAGTGAAAATAGTGAAGAAGTAACTTCATCTAGTGAAAGTAGTGGCAATGAAGGAAAAAGAAGAGTTAAAAACTCAGCCAGGAAGAAAGTAAAGCTTGGTCCACGTGGGTTCTATTATGACATATAAATCCAACTATTCTATATTTTTACCCATATGAAATGTACGCCGCTCAGAATATAACGCCAACAGTTTTGGATGCCATGAACGGAAACGTTTCCGAATGGTATAACGAATGCGACAATGCCATTAGAAGGTCAGAAATAGTTCCTGGAACTTACGAATATACAACTGCTGTTTCTTATGGAAACGTAGGTGAGTTTGGAGAAGGTTCTTCAACAACAGTAGATATTGCTTGCGACAGGTTTCATATTATTTCTATTGACAACTCATTCTTATACGTGGAACAAGACATTGAAATAAAACCTTCTGCCAAGTTGTCTGACAAGAAAGGTTGCAATGGAATTTTCTATGTCGGATACCAATATGCTCCAGAAGTTTTCATGGGATATAAGATATATTCTAACTCTGACTTAGTTCAAACAGTAACATGGGCAAACTATGAATGGTTCGCTTTGAGAAACTCAGTACAACCACAAGCTAGAGAACAAACAGACCAGTATGCAACTATTGAGAAAATAAGAAGACTTGACCCTAACGTTCCAGGAGTTTATGTTAACCTTTCTGGTTCAGATGGAAATGCTGTCACTAAAGTAAAACTGAAACTTAGAGTTCCTTTGTCATCTTTCCTCATCTTCAGGTTTTTAAGATACTTGCCAAACTGGGCAGGAAAAATTTCTATCGAACTTACTCCAAGCAAAAATAACTTAGTCATTGCACCAACACAAGACCCATTCACTATTACAGACGTAGAGGGAACAAATAAAACGTCATTCGCCGACTTTTGCAAAGACAAAGTTGACTTAGACTTTGGTTTCTCAAACCTCAACACTGAAGTAAACTATTATTTCAATGCTGCTGGAACTGCTTGGGACCCAGTTAAGTTTACATGCGAAAAATTTGAATGCAAGAGAATAGAAAGCAGACTTGCAGTCTATATGTTGGACCCAGATATTTTCAAATGCTTTAGCTGCCAAATATATTGCAGTTCCACTTATGTTCCCTATACACCAAATATCTGTCAAAGACTTTGCAGGTGAAGTTGGAAACCAAAGTGCTGACCCAGGTGCAAGAACAGATATTGCTTTAACAACTGCAATGAAACATGCAGATACTATGTTTGTACTGTTCAGACGAACTATAAATGACTATTCTTGTTTCTACAACCCTGGTATTAAATATCATATAAACATAGATGGCAAATATTATCCAAGAGAAGAATATTCTACAGTTGAGGATATGAGGTCATACAACTTGACATTAGATGCTATGAACTTTAACAACAACTTCACAACAACCATTAACCCTGAAATGCAAAGTTCTATTATGCCATATGTGAAAGTATGGACTCATACAGGAGGTCAAAAAACTCAATATACAAATGGAGACCGTTCAAACTTTTGGCTTGGCATTCCATTTGCTGACTCAGAAGACTTTATGGGTGGTATTTCAACTGTTGGTACAGTTCAAATACAATATACTGGTGACAGAGACGGTCCAGATGAATTGAAAGCAAAGAAGTTTACAAAACCAATAGCACTTTTCACGGAAGATGCTCTTTTGAAGATTCGTTCGATGAAACCTGCTGGGGCTCCTCAGATTGGCATAACGACAGCTTTCCATCGAGCAGATTTTGGCAGCAGGTCAGTAAGTTGTTCTTGAACTGACTTCTCTCCGTCAAATATTGACAGTACGCCAGTTTTGACATAATATTGTATTATAAACTTACCTTTAGAAATATCTGTAAGTTTTGAAGTTATATTTTTGTCTGCTTCAAGAACTTTCACCATTTCAGTTATACCAACTTTCTTTGCTTTATGAAAATATTTTGGTTCAGCAAAGACTGCTGTTCTATAACATTTTCCATTGTTTGTGTAAAGAACTATTCTGTCAATGAACTTGTATTGTTTGTGTGTGTAAACTTTGTTCTGCTTCAATTCGAAGAGATACTCAAATACGTCCATCTTTTTATTCTAAGTAAAATGTCATTTCCGAAAAATAGAAGCGTAAGTGTTTCAAAAGGTTTAATGGCGGTGGCAGATGTGAAGTTAAATTCACCAACTCAAACAAACAGTCAAAGTGTTGTTGTCAATGTCAAAGACAGAGATGTTGAAGTGGGGAAACCATACGAAGACGAAAATGGTATAACAATAGTTCCTGTAAAAGAACAACCAACATACCCTGAAGTTAGCAGAGACTTAAGTTCTGTTGCAGATATTCGAAACGACTACCAACAACTGAAAGACAAACTTCAAACTCAGGAGAAGATTTGTCAAGCTTTAGGTATAATGTTAAACTTGGTCGAACACAACCCTGTAAAAGTGAACTCATATGTCATTGCACCTCATGAAGTTTTGAAAGAACTATTGAAACTTTTGACAGAGGCAGACGATATAAACATCAAAGAAATAGAACCCGACGTTAGTTGCTGTGGTGTTTCATATAATGTCATTGACAAGATATACGTTATGAAAGGAGGTGAAACGTTGAACTTAAAATATAGTTTCCCAGACGTTATAAAAATATTTGACGACCACAACATTTCATTAAAATTTATTTGCTAAGTAAATGGCAGAAGACACAATGGTTTATACTATTACGACTAAAAACCCTGAGTCATATAATTCTATAACAACAAACTTACAAAGTCCTCAAGGACGATATTGTAAACTAACCTTAAACACAATGACGACTAAAGCCTGTTTTGCTCTTTTGACACCAGAAGATTTTATTGTTGTGAATGGTAAAAAATACTCCTTTGAAGATACTTACTCAGATATACCACCAACAGGTTTTGTTGACTTATTTAATACTTTAAGTACGGGTGTAACATGTGCTGCAACTAGAGCAGGTTTCATTATGTTTGGATGTCCGACTGAGTTTACTATAAACAATATGAGCTATAATACAAAACTTATATCTGGTTTTTACTACCAACAGTTTCCTATAACAGGAAAAGGTGTCATACAAGGAATGTCTATTCCATTGACTTTAAGTACACCTATTTTATATATTGTTTCAAACTTAGGTTCAAAGTGTTATTCGAATGTCGACAGAAACTACTATGACCAAAAGATACTTATGCGTATAAATAACACATTCTCTGCTGGTTTGCCTATTGTTCATTCGAATGCAGAGTTTTCAGCTTTAGTAAACTCAAACACTTTAGCAAACATAAACTTAACCTTAGTTGACGCAAACTTTGTTCCTGTAAAACTTTTATGTCCTATGTATTTGTCAATGACGGCAGAAAGTTTCGAATTGGAAGATGCAACTGGTGAAAGTATTGTATTACAAGAACAACTTCAACAACAAATAGCTCAAGAACAACAAATGCAACAAATAGCTCAAGAATAAAAAAAATATTTTTTTTATTTTTATAAAAATGTACAGAATAGATGTTTCAGATTTTTATGACTTCCAAACATTCAGAAATATGTGTCTATTTCGAGACTATAACAAAGCAGTCGAGAATTTGAAACGTTTAGTCATTTATGTCGACTCTGCCCCAGAATGTTATGTTATGAAAGAATGGGATGTTGTCTTTAACAAACCAAGAGCAACAATAGTTTCAGAACAAGAATGTAGACAGAAACTTAAGAAAATAAAAGTCGTACAAGTTGGCATGAAGATGTTAGATGCTTGGGATATCTTATTGTCAAAACTTGAAGATTTTTCAGTTCGTGGTATAAAGTTCTATACACCTTCTCCAAACTTCTATTCTATCTTCACTGGATATAAATACGAACAAGTAGAATGGAAACACAGTATTATAGAAGCTTGGTTAGACCATGTCAAAGAAATTATATGCAATGGAACGAAAAGGTTTATGAGTATATCTTATGTTGGTTTGCAAACATCTTACAACATCCAAGTGCTAAAAATGAAACTGCTCTCATTATAATTGGAAAACAAGGAACAGGTAAGAATACTTTCTTTACAGATATTTTTGTGCAAAACTGTTAGAGGGCTATTCGAACCCTAATATGACAAACTTAGAAAACATCTGCGGTAAATTTAACTCTTCAATAGAGAATATGAAACTTATAGTATGTAACGAACTTCAAAGTATAGATACAACAAAAGTTTTGAACTCAGATGCTTTGAAGAGTCTTATAACAGACAAAGTTGGAGTTGTTGAAAGAAAGTATAAAGACCAAAGAGTTTGTGAAAATGTTGCAAACTTCATTATGGTTTCAAACAATGCTGTTCCGATGAAGTTAGAAAGTTCTGACAGAAGATATGTAGTTGTCAGAACGTCAGATTCTCATATGCAAGATACAGAATATTTTGACGACTTAGCAGAAACTTTGACATCTGACTTTTACAACCACTTGTTCTCATATTTCATGACATTAGATATTTCTAAGTTCAATCCAAGACAAATTCCACATACCGAAGAGAGACAAACATTGTTAGAAGCAAACAAGAGTGTATATGAACTGTTCATAGATGAAACTGACTTTGAGTGTTTAGATGAAAGGTCATTGTACGATTCGTATAAACAATATTGTCAAGAATATGGTTATATGACAGCGTCTAAACGAACATTCTTGGCAAATGTCAAAAATCTTTTAGATGTTCAGAACGGCGTATATACAAAGAAAAATTTTTATGAGTAAATTTTAAAAAAAATATTTTTTTATCCGATAGAAAAAGATGACAGAAAAATTAACTTTTTACATAGCGCCAGACCCTTCTTGCCCACATCTTTTTAAGCCACAATATATAGACATAGAACTAAATAGAGAAAGCGAAATTCTACAAACAGAAGAAACATATAGAGACCTAGATAACGAAAATGGATATGCGCTATTCTGGTTAGATTGTCCTTATGAAATGTATGAAAAAAAGGCTTTATATGAAGAATATAGAAAATATTGTCATGAAAACGATATAAGACCAAGCTCTAGAGAAAAATTCTATGCTGGTATAAAACATCTTTTCGAAGTTCGGAATGGCAAATATAGAAAGAAATAATTTTTCTGAGTAAATTTTAAAAAAATATTTTTTTATCCGATAGAAAAGATGACGAAATTCATCTCAGTAAACAAGTACATGTCAGGACTTAAAGAAGAACTAGACCCATTCACATATTTGAATGTTACTTCTACCATTTTGAAAAGTCTTCATTCAGCAAGTTTGGAACATCGAACCAGTTAGTTTGCTATTGTGACTAAAAATGGTGCGAAATTTGAAGACTTAGACATAGAAGGTTTGTTAACAGTCAAAGAAAGTTTTGACAGAAGGTTCTCAAACCTTAAAGAAGGCAAAGCATACAAACTTGTTATACCTTATGAACCAAAGAAGACAGACGACTATGAATATTATGAGTCTAAAGTTGTAGAAGTTCAAGGTAAATTGGGTAAAAAGATTTTAGAGTCTAAGCCAGTGTTTGCTCCTAAAGAGGAAGAGAACATTGACATTGACCCAGAAATGTGCTAAAAATAAAATTTTATTTTTACATGTCATATCTCCCCTTCTCTGGAACTGGTTCTTTCTTCTCTTCTTCTACTTTCTCTTTCTTTTCTCTCTTCTTCTTTTCTGGTGGAGTTATGTCAAATTTCTCCGAACCATATTTATGTAAAAGTTCTTTGTCCTTTAATAGCTCTTCTATTCTGTTTTCTATTTCATCTTCAAGAACAGCGCATGTGTCTTCTTTGCATTCTAAGAAGTTTTGTTGGACTTCATCTTTCCAATCGGCGTCATCTCTGTCAACAAGTCTGTCATTGACAAATTTTAAGACTGCTCTGCTTAATGTTTTATGGTTCTTGTCATATTCCCAGAAACAGAACTTTAGAACAAATTCACCTTTCTTGTTTACACTATGTAAGATTTTATGGTCTACAGATGTTTTGCTGTCAAAAAGCTTGTCTCGAATATAGATAGCGAAATCGCTAGACATTTTCTAAAAGATAAAAATTTTAATTTTTCTAAAAATATGTTAGAAAAAAAGTTTGCTGACATTGACAAGAAATTTGAGAATGTTTTAAACAAGAACAAGGTGAAATTAGAAAAATGCTCAGATAAAACCCATACATGACAAGTTCTTATTTGCTCAGAATGGTATAACAGGTCTAATTGCACCACCTGGGTCGGGTAAGACTTTCACTTATCTTAAAATGGCTGCACAACAACAAGAACTAGATGAGAAGAACCCATTCTATGAGTTAGTTGTCATTTGTAGTACTTCTGGTCAATTTGACCAAACCGTCAATTCGTTCAAAGATATTATAAAGAAGTCTAAGTTAGTATGTATAAAGGATACTGAGTTGTTAGATTGGATAAAGAAGTACCAAAGAAGGGTTTTGAAGTACAATGCTATAAATGAGTATATAAATTCGAAGTTTAAAGACCCAAATGAGGAAATGCAGAGAATATTAGAGAAGAAACACTTCAGAAACAAACAGAAAGAGATAGAATACATTTCGAAGAAATTGCAATCTTACGATTGGAAGACTTACCCTCATAGATGTCTTCTTATCTTAGATGATTTCGCCTCTCATCCTTTGTTAAAGAATAGAGAACAAGACATGTGTCGAATTCTTAAGAAGCTCAGACACTTTAACATCTCAGTTGTCATTTGTGTACAGACAGCCAAGAGTTTAAGTAAGGATGTAAAGAGAATACTTACTGACATTGTACTTTTCCCCGGATTGTCCGAAGACGATTTCATGGAACTTATGAAAGAGTCCATGGCAGGTAAGTTTGACAGACATGAACTATGGGAGAAGTACAAAGTCATACAAGACCCTCATACTTCTTTCAGAATTCATATCTACGCAAACAAAGTTCAAATTGTAAAAAAGTCAAGCGTAAAAAATGTAAGTGTTTAGTCTTAGTCTGTTGTGGTTCTGCAGCTTTCGGTTCTTCTGGCTTTGGAATGGACTCGGTTGGTGGTACGTCAGTCATCCGTTTGTGTCCTGTCGGAAGGAAAATATTTTCCTGTTGGAAGGAAGAGTTCTTCCTGTCGGAAGGAAAATTTTTTCCTGTTGGAAGGAAAATTTTTTCCTGTCGGAAGGAAAATTTTTTCCTGTTGGAAGGAAAATTTTTTCCTGTTGGAAGGAAAATTTTTTCCTGTAGGAAGGAAGAGTTCTTCCTGTCGGAAGGAAATTTTTTTCCTGTCGGAAGGAAGGACTCGGAATGCCAGAAGGATTTGACAAGGCAATTTACCTTATAGAGCTACCTGAGCCATCTGAAGTCAAGCTTGAAAAATAAATGGTTCATTTACTCTACTTGTTTGAAGTTGTCAAAATACTCTGTTATTTTTTCCTTTAACAATGGCAAATCTTCTTTGAAGGTAAGTATTGTACAACCTTTAATATCATAGTGTGTTTGAGGTAACGTATCTTGAACTATTTGTTTCACATCTTCATTTGGTGTCATTGAAATCGGTAAGTTTTCGCGATAGAACCAATTTCTGTCAGATTTGTAAATCTTAGCAAGGTCGTAAAAGCTTTTGTTGTTTCTTCTGACTAAATGCAACATAACCATATCTCTGTCTTCTTCATTTTCCATCTCTTCAGTATAAATCATATACTTATAGTTCTTTTCCTTTCCTTTTGTACCGAACGTGGTATTCTTTTCTGAAGGCTTTTGTCTTTTGCTTCAATGACTTCATCTTTTGCTTCAAGCTTGTTTTCCATCTCTTCACGTTCTTGTCTATGAATTTCATCTAACATCATGAAAATATAACAAGCATAACGAGGTGAAGCCCACATTGCTACAGCATTTACAAGAAGTCTATGTACATAATATCCTCTCAAACCGTTTGGCAATTTTTCACGATTTTCGTACGGAATCTCGACCCTCGGTTTTCCGAGGGTCGCAAACATATGAGGAAATTCTTCTAAAAGTTCTTTTGTCTGCTGGTTTTCAAACCAATGATATGCTTGCTTTGTAGAACGAAGAGCATTCAAAATACTTTGCATTTGGTACATATCGTCTTTGACCGAACGAATGAGACGTAACTGTTTGTTATACTGTATGTACTCATATTCTTCACTTATGGCTTCATGAACGATAGCAGTTGTTGTGTTCTCGGTTGTTGACATATCTGTCTTTACATACAAAATAAAAAAAATATTTTATAAAAAATTAGCGTTATTTTCTGACTTTCACAAAAGACCAAAAATAAACGCTTTACATGTATTTTTCAGCAACTTCGTCAAATAATTTTATAGCTTTACCTATCTCATCTACTTCAAACGTTTCTTTACCTTTCGTGGGCACCATACATTTTCTCAAACTTTTCAAGTAGTTCTGTTTCAGCAGCTCTCATATCATTCACAAACACAACCTTGACTCTATTGACTATACTGTCATATCTTTTAGTTATATTATATGTTCTTCCTATCTTATATCTCTTTGTATTGAAGTCCTTCGGTTTCTGAACGATGTAAAGTAAGCCTTCACTGCAACGTTCCGTATCGAATGAACCATATGTTATGAAGTTATATCCAACAACTGGGTCTAACCATAACAAAACTATTGGTATAAGACTTTTGTCGATGAGATATGCTGTAGTTCCATGAAATGCTACTGATATCATAAGCTCAGGATTTCTTGTCAAAATTTTCTGAGTAGAAGCAGTTCTAACCCAGTCGTGGGATGTTTTCTTTCCAGATAGTGTTAGAATGTCTGACAAAGAATATTTGTTGTATTTCTTTGAGTATCTTACGTTTAAATCACCAATTCTAACCATTTTGGTGTCATTGTCTATCTTTTTAACTGTTTCAAACTCAATGTTTGTCATTTTCTGTCTTTACATACAAAATAAAAAAATATTTTTTTAAAAAACTAACTTTATTTTTTCTATCTTGTATAAAAGATATGATTTCAGGGATTTTTTTTACGAAGTGCAAAAGTTCTCTTCGTCAAAAAATAACAGTTATATAATGAAATTTGGTCATTTTTTCACGATTTTCATAGAGTTTTGGCGACTGGGGTTTTTTCCCTACTCGCAATTTTTCACGATTTTCATGAGTTTTGGCGACTGGGTTTTTTCTATCTTGTATAAAAGATATGATTTCAGGGATTTTTTTTACGAAGTGCAAAAGTTTCTTCGTCAAAAAATAACAGTTATATATATGAAATTTGGTCATTTTTTCACTGTTTTCATGTGTTTTATGCAAGACCGAAAAAGTCGGTCTAGAGAAATTTCACTCAAAAATTCTTGTGTGCTTTGGTTTTTGAACCAGTCGTCTGCGTGTTTGGTTTCTGGAGCAAAACATACTGTCAAAATACTTTGCATTTGGTACATATCGTCTTTGACCGAACGAATGAGACGGAGTTGTTTGTTAAACTGAACCCACTCGTATTCTTCATGAATTTTGTATAAAAGATATGATTTCAGGGATTTTTTTTACGAAGTGTCAAAGTTCTCTTCGTCAAAAAATAACAGTTATATAATGAAATTTGGTCATTTTACTCGGCATAAATATATTTTAGGTGAAGAGGTGAGATCTCACCCGTTTTCTCACCTCTTTTCTCACCTCTTGAATTTTGTATAAAAGATATGATTTCAGGGATTTTTTTGACGAAGTGCAAAAGTTCTCTTCGTAAAAAATAACACAAAAATGGTGTATTTTAAACGAAGTGCAAAAGTTCTCTTCGTCAAAAA